CAGGAGAGCCACAGACTTTTAATTCCTAGTTTGCTGCCTGACAAGTTTACTTGCCAGTGCTGTCCCCCTTTTCTCCTCTAGATAAAATTCACTCTGGGTTGACAAAGAAGTGGTATAGAAGGGAATAGAGGGACATATCCATGAAGATGAATTTACACTTGTCAGGACATCCAAGTGCTTGGGCAAGGGGCACACAAAAGGCCCAGAAGGTTACAAGGGAATATAAGAGGCTAAACCGTGTGACCTCCCAAGCATCACATCCAACTCACCATACGGGAAGCGAGTTCCAGCAGCTCTTTCTTGGCCTGTTGAACCCCCTGTGGGTCTCCTTCAATTCTGATCAGGTTGCTCTTCTCATTGTCCGGTGGAATGCGCACAGACACCTTGTAGAGGTCCTTAATCCTGTTAACTTTCAAGGCAAGGACCATGGTGACACAGTCTGCTAGGGCAAGACTTAGAAGCAAGGCATCTTGCTTAATACTGCTTAGAAGCGGTTTAAAAAGCAAATCAGCCTCTGAGAAGGCACCAGAGTTCAGCAATAGCAGGTATGTGCCACCCAAGAACCTGGAGAAGTAAATACTGTGGCATCTACAGAGCAAATTGTTTGCTCGCCGGAGTGAGGCATCTGTCTCTTCCCCAAACACCCCATCTACATCAGAATTATTCATTTATAATCTCAAATTCTTATTTGGGAGAAACTCACCAAGCAGATTTCTACCACTCCTAATCAGCTGCTAAAATGTAATTCACATACAACAACTTCAAAACCAGGCAATTCTCCAACCTCATCTCCAACAATGTATTTTCTCCAAGACAAAGTAATCCCACCACTGTTCAACCTCCCAAGACACTTTCACACATTAAAGCCATCCCAAGGCCTCACCACCCATTTACTTCCTTATGCTAACACCACCCCAGAAAAGCAGAGGAAATGTGATGGAGACAGCACACTGAGTGATCTACTGAGCCTCTTATATGTTCTACTAAATACAGAGAGTCCACACATAGGAAGGATTAGAAAGGCACCCCACTTACTGTTAGCTCCATTCTTGCCAATGAGGTGTCGATGGAATTTGTGGTCAACGTTGATTTCTGCATAATCCATCCGGTTGATCTATACAGAAATGTATAGGGCTAAGGTAGGGCAGGTCACCACTTCTGTCTTGCATCTTAAGTAACTGCCTACTGCCAGTATTGGCATTGACTGTGCAGTAGCCAGCTACAAACACTCCTCCTGCTATTAAGGAGAGCAGAAGCACTCCACTGGTTTGAGCTGAGAGCACCATATTGTGGAAAATTAAAAAGGAACTTAGATGGCTCTCCAGCTATGACTGAAAGAGAATCCTTCCTCCTCTGCATCAAAATATTTAAGACCTGCAGCTGATTTTTTTTAAGAATGCTATGGACAAGCTTCATAACCAATCCACATACCACAAAACTTGTCTTCTGCAAGCTGGTAAGCATATTAAGACATTATATGGAGTTGATAAACTTCTCATCATCTTCTCCCCTTTTCTTTTTATGTACCAGAACTCACCAGATCCTTGACCATGACTTCAATCTGTTCCTGTGCCACATTCACATCTTCTGTAGGTCCCTCCAATGTGATTTTATCCTCTCCTTCAGTGAATTCGATGTGAACCTTGAGAGGCAAGGCAATGAATCCAGTAAGAATTTTTCAAGATAGAAGCCAGGTCATGCCGTTAGTGAGGCCTATACCACCAATCCCTGCTACTAAGAGATGTTTTCCTTCCCACAAGTATATAATTCCCATGGTTTCAGAAGTAGGTAACTTACAGTTCTGGCCGTCACAGTGTGTAGAGACCAAGGCTGTCCTGGAGTCTGCAAGGGCTTTGGAAAACTTACCACCTAGCCTTTCTCCAGATACCCATCTAACTCGTTGAAGTCACCATTTGCAGGTATCCTACTATACCAATTCTCAAAATAGTAGCACATAAAGCTTCCCTTGAAGGGCTCAACCCATGAGAATAACAGAATGAGTAGTGTTTGCAGCAGTAAAAGAGAGGGTGCCCTTGACATCTGTGTCATTACCCATGTGTCTTGGATTTAACTAAGATAGCGTTAATTTTCTTCCTAGTAGCTGGTGCAGGGCTGTGTTTTGGCTTTAGTCTGAGAATAATGCTGATAACACACCGATGTTTTAGTTGTTGCTAAGTAGTGTTTACCTTCATCAAGTGCTTTCAGTCTCATGCTCTGCAAGTGAGGAAGGGCACAAGAAGCCAGGAGAGAGCAGAGACAAGACACCTGACCCAAACTAGCCAAAGGGGTATTGTATTCCATACCACAGCACGTCATGGCCAGTATATAAACTGGGGGGAGTTACCTGGAAGGGGCCAATCACTGCTTGGGTATGGGTCAGTGGGTAGTGAGCAATTGTATTGTGCATCACTTGTGTTTACTGGGTTTTTGGTGTGGCAGGGCTTTTGTTTGTTTGGGATTTTTTCCCCTTTAGTTTTATATCTCTCATTATTCCCCTTACTATTAGTGGTAGTATATCGTAATTCAATTATTAAACTGTTCTTAGCTCAACCTGCAGGTTTTGTATTCTTCTGATTCTCCTGCCCGTTCCACCCGGGGAGAGGGGAAGAGGAGAGTGAGCAAGCAGCTGCATGGTACTGAGTTACCAGCTGGGGTTAAACCACAACACCATGCTAGAGTACATTTCCCTTTTCTATAAAGAGTGATGTGGACTAACCCATATTCTACATCAAGGGTTCTAAGCTAACCAGCTCGTCCATACCTTTGGCATCTGCTGAGTTATTTTGGCCAGGTTTTGTCCTTTCTTTCCAATAATGAAACGATGAAGCCAAGAGGGGGCAGAGACCGAGGAGACGGTAAAACTGTTGGCCTGAGAGACAGAAAAACAGAGAAGCTGTTTGATGGACAGACAAAAATCCAGTTCCAATTCTCATGCTGCACCTGCAGCACTGACTTCTAAGCTGCACCTCTAACAGCCCAACAGACATCACACCCCCATCACCACTCACAGATGTATGTTTATGGGACTTTCAAAGAAGGCCTAACCCATCTTGTCTGTACCTTTGCATAGACTTCAGTCAGTGCTTGTCCAAGCTTCTCAGGCTCGCCTCGCAGTATCACCGTCTCCGAGCTACTGTCAGTGGGTGGGATCTCGACAGAGACTCCAGTTTTCTCCAAGATCTCCTGCAGGGAATTCCCCTTAGGGCCGATGACATACTTGTGCTGGGACTTCTTCACCTCCACTGCAATGGTTGTAGTCTTCTTTTTCTGTAGGGGCAGAGGCACTAGGCATCAATAACAAGGGGGCAGGGAAGGACAAGAGTGAAAGGAAGATGCAGTGAAACCCTGCACCCAGGAAAAAATGAAGCAAAGGTGAGCACAGTAGTTCTGCAGTACCCTAGCAACCTTTCTGCCTACAGAACGCCTTGTGCTAAAAACTTCACAGGTGAAGAACACAACTAGTGTTCAGTGTCAAGCTCCCTCAGACACTACATGGAACAGACCACATACACACATCCCCTTGCTCAATGCCCAGCTGTCCCCCAGGCGGTACTGCAACACAACACCAGGTAGGTTTCTACGCTATAAGCTGATTATCTCTGTTGAAATTCCAGACTGGTACAAATGCAGGAAAAACAGCCTAACAACTCACAACAAGGATATTCACAGCAGTATTGGCTGTAGAAAATAAACTGGAGTGAAATTCACTCTTCAGCAATTTCTACTTATGTAGCAACTTTGATACTGCCAGCTGGCTGCCACTGTAGACTTCACTCTTCCTTCCTTCTTTAGCAGCACCTGTGTGAACAAGAGCCAGGGGAGCTCTTCATGGTCTGCTAATTCCCATGATGTAGAAGACTGAGAAATCTGTCACCTCCCCAGTAGTATCCCCCCAAGTCCTGCTCTGCTCAGTGAGGAAATAGTAAGATTCAGGGCCATGTACTGCAAGGGCTGCTGAGCCAGAGCTGGCATGAGAAGGATGCAGCAGAGGGATGCACAAAAAGAGGGACTACAAGCAGGTTGGGGGAGGATGTGAAGCATTATGGACCATCCGTACCTTCTCCTCGTAGATCTTCTTAACACGGGCCACAGCCTGGGCCAGCTGTTCCTTTTCTCCTGTGAAGACTATCTCTGTCTTGTTGACGCTGGGTGGAGGAATGTTGATGCGTGTCCCTGTGTCCTGCATGAGCTCGCTCACCAGCTTGTTGTAAGGGCCAGCAATGAAGGGGTGGTACACTTTCTCCACATCCAGCCGCTCCACAGCACGCTTATCCTGGAAGAGCCCAGAACAGACGTCGGTGGGAACTGTCCTCTGTATTACAGTTTCTGCCAGATACAGCTAAGTTCCCAGTACTGTCTTGCTTGCCGCTCTGGCCCAAGTACCTTTTTCAGTTTGCAGGCTTGTAGATCTCCATCCCTTTCAATCCACAAACACTGCTGTTGCTGCTGCTGATTTACGATACTCACCTCTGTAATCTCCCTGCCTTATCTCAGCTGGCACCTAATAGGGTTCACTTCAAACATGAAACACACTTATCCTACTTCAGAGATGGACAAAATGGAGAACCAGAAGCTGCAGAACCTGGCAGCAATGCTCATGTAGCCAGTGGCACAGTATAAGCCTCTGTTCAGACTAGCTTATTAGCCACTGACTGTGGCCACGGTAGCTAAAGACATCTAATATACCATGGAGAAGCAAAATGGCTGTCCAGCTAATGCCATGAGAGGTACCATAGTACTGAAGTACCTGCTCAGCGGAGATAAGCAGGATCTCGTGTCGAGCCTTCTCAATCCCTTCTTTAGTGCCGGTGATCTTGATCTGGTTGCTGGGGTCATCTGGGCGGGGGATCTGGATTTTAGTTGCAGTTTTGAGCTCCAGGTCCTGCAGCTTCTCACCATTCTTTCCAATGACAAAACGGTGGTGCTCCTTGGGGATGGCAACAGTTGCTGAAGCCTGCAACACAACAATCAAGCACCCATGAGAGCGTTTGCCTGCACTGGCAGATCCACAGGAACAAAGCCAGGAAAAGCAAGCTAGATGCTGCCTAACAGTACTGCTGAGGAGCAGATACAATGACTTCCCAGCACATTCTGTATGAGGACTGATACTGTACCAGAACAGTTGATCTACAGTGCCTGTATACCAGGAGTCTAAAGCCCACCTTTCCCTCAAAACCCTTCTATTTGCACAGGAATAGTACTCTGCATTAGCAAAGGCCTTTGGGTACAGACAAGGACGTGCCTATCCTCCAGTCAAGACACTGAAGCAGTACCAGACAGCAACTGAGATGATGGTTCATGGGTGGAGCTTATCTGAACTCTGACATCTGCTGCCAAGGCTACAGAAAACAAGACACAGCCTGACTCCTAGGAAACAGAAATTCAACACCACAAACCTATTCCAGCAGGCAGACAGCTCAGAGATGCTTACCACTGCTAAGTGCTAAGGTGTCTTCAATGTAGCACTTGCTGCTCCCGGGACTGCTTCTAGAAGGTCCCTCTTGGAACAGGGGTCCCAAGAGCTTCTCTTAATCTATCATTAAAAGGCTGGTCTGTAATAGGGATTCCTGACTTCTTCCCTTGTGAGTTTTTACTGACCTGGTAGCCTATGATTGCTACCACGTTCGTGAATATTTAACTACTAAGAGTAATCAGACACTTAAAATTGAAGCTACAATGGAAAAAAAAAAAAAGGAAAAAAAAAAAAGAAAAAAAAAAAAAGGAAAAAAAAGAGCACTTGGCGTGACTCTTCAACTCGGTGTCCCTGTACCAAAGCCAGCCAAGCCCAAAAGCAGCTGGAATACAGACACACCTTTCAGACCTGGGGCCAGGGCAGCAGGAGGTATATTTGAGGACAGTGGGGCATTGATCTGTGGCAGTACGACCTGAACTATTTTTTCAGACGCATATTATGTAGGGTTTGTCCCTTTCTCTTCCCTCTGGCAGGGTATGACACATGGGCTGAAAAGCACTAAGCAGACATGGTATTAACTATTGCACTACCTACCTTTGGCATTATACTTTAAAACACAGTAGGACACTTGGATGTATTATATCCTAACAAGAACTGTCATCTTGAGTATGAACTCAAGAATCTGAAGGGAAGAATTCAAACCCTAGCAGACTGAAAGGAGAAACAACTGAAACAACGAGCGTGTGGCTCCTTACCAGTGTGCTTTGAGTTACACAATCTAGAACCCTGACCTGAACCTTTCAGCTTTTGGCAAGACTTCCTCTTCTCTACTTTTATTTCTCCCATCCCTCCACATTCTACTCTGAAGGACTTCAGAGAAAGCACAGTCCTGTTCTCACATACTACTAACCTTCTGTGAGGGGCCTGCACCCCCTCTGGCACCAGCACCTCAGCACAAAGTCACTGTTTGCAATTCAAGTGTTCAGAGATTGCAGACTCCACCCTTCACGCAACACTGTGGCCTTTAATTAGCTTTGAACCCTATTTTAAGTCTCATTTCCATTCCAAATTGCCAACTGTGTGCTTTGAAAATACATGGTAAAGCTGTATTAGTCATCTAATAACACCTCTTTGGCTTATAAGCACACACGCCCAAGGGTCTCAAAGCATTTGCGAGTCCTGGGGAAGAGCAAAGATGAAGTGAGAAACAGTTAGATGCCCTCACCTGAGTCTGCAGCCGAGCGACAATCTCCTTCCGAGCCTTCATGACTGCTTCCAGCTTGCCAGAGACCATGATTGAAAGGCCCTGGTCCTTTGCAAGAGACAACTCCAGGTGAGCTCCGGTCTTCTGCATGATGTCAAGGCAGATCTTGGCCTGCTCGCCTTCTCCAAACTGATTCATGTCCTTGTATTTCCTCTCCTCCAGTGGCACATGAAACACCTGCTCAGCCACAGGACAGATAAAAGAAGGGCACAATAAGCTGTCAGTATGCTTTTGATTGCCAGTGCTTCCCTCTCTTATTGCCCTACAGGACTTTACTGCCATACTAAGTTCCCAGGTTTGCGCAGTCCATCAAGCTTTCCAGCGGAGACACCAGCTGTGAACTGGAAAAGTGCAAGAGCACTGAGCAGGCAGTCTGTCTCACACTGGGCCTAAAGTACGTGCTATAAGGGGAATACTTCAGTGGATTAGTGCTCACTACTTGAATTCTGCAATTCTCCCTTCAGGCCCTCTCCAGCTATTTGTGGAACAGGGATGCAGAACTTTTACTTGACGGTATTCCAACACATCCCACCCCTCCAGAGCAGTCCTAGGTGTCAGCTGCAGTCCTCCTCATGCCCCAGTGTAAAGTATAGCAAGGAAGCTGTCAATCTGATACACTACAGATTTCATACTCCAGGAAAAGCTTCACCTCACCTGCTTTTTGGGGGGAGGAAATCAGAGTGAGAAAAGATACTGACTCCCACCAACCTGAGTGATGACAGAAGCCTTTATTGGTCGGATTTTGCTCCAGGGCCCAGCAGGTTCCTGGGCAGCTTCCAAACATGGTGCTTTCTCAGGGAGCGGAGGGAAGGCTTCCTTGTAGGTTGGAGGATCATTCTCTTCTTCAGAGTTTAAAGCTGTAACTGGGGTGAACCAAACAGGGTAAATGAGACGCCCCTATTCACAGGCAACACAATTGTATTTAGGCACCAGTAACAAAGGAGAGCAAACAACTTATGCACTATTGTAATCCTATTACAGTTATGCCCATGGAGCAGCCAAATGTGGAGCACAAGTGACCTCAGCACAGCATGGACTGCAGTAAATACCATGAACAACCAGCCTCATCTGAGCTGGCACTATGGATGCAGGAAGTAAACGTGCAAATGAATAGTGGCAGCGAACAGCATATTACTGCCAAGTTTGTTAAGAGGGGCTTAATCAGGGGAGAACAGGCTGAGCGAAAGAAAGTGAAAGGAACAGAGCAGGGCTGCAGTCAGAAAGGGCTCAAACACACCCAGAAGGCAGGCAGAGAGAAATGCTGTAGTTAAGGCAGAGTGCAGGGAAAGGCTGTACCTTAAATTCAACTCAGCTGTGCACTGGGCCATGCCAGGTGGGCCAGACTGCAGCTGGAGGATGTGTGCCAAACCCATCAGTAAGGCAGTTAACACAGTTACACTGACTTCCCCTAGCACCTGGCTGAGCAAAAGGAGGAAGCACACTGATCCCATGAGGCACTCTTGCTTGTGCCCTGTCCCACGGCTGACAGCACTGCTAGCCAAAGAAGATGAAGATCTGAGGCCTGTCTTGTCTTGGCCCTGCACTGCAGCACTACCACTGTGCTCTCATGGTGGAAAGCCACTAGTCTAGGAATGGAGAATGCAGTGCCTTCACGCTTGTGCGGACCTGGACACATGGAGTGAGCTTGGGTACAAAGAACCTTGCATGTGCAGTCTGTATTTTGAGGCACGTCACAGGAACTTGAGTGCATTTCCTCACCTTTCACCTGCTGCTGAGCCAGGCCACTGCGGTGTTCAGCGAAGCTCTCCTGGGTCAAAACTGCCACGGAGCTCATTGTCGACTTCCCACCCACACACAATCCGGGTATGCCACTGGAAGAGGCAGCGGTGGCAACACTATTACAACACCATTCGAGATGCACAAAAGTCACTCCAAGAAGACAAAGTATGCGTTACTGAGCACTTCTCCAGTCAGCGTCTTGAGAAGCACCTGCAGTGCCAGCAGCTGCCCAGCTCTCTCGACGAACCAGACAGGAACTCAGGGGGGATATTTCCTCACAGCACAATGGTCACCAAAACAGTGTTCCTCATTAAGGAGGCAGAAGATGTGCAACCTAAGAAGGTCACTCGAAGGGGAAACACCAGAAGCTGTCAAAGCATACTCTAATTAATCTATAAATTATTAATGGTGCAATTTTTAAATGAGTATCCAAAGGTCTGGACAGTCAGTCCAAAACCATTGTGTAACCCTAGAGGTAAAAGAAAAAGGGCCCAGGATGCTGCCTCTTCCTGAAAAAGACTTATTTAGGTGCCTGAACTCCCACTGACTTAGGGCTACACTCAGAAAGCCACTATGAGAAACAACCTCAGCAACAGCAAGATCTTTGGTTCTCTCAAAATAAGAGCTTACCAGCTAAATGGTCAGTAGCCAGAGAGTCCGTCCTGTAAGCTGCCCGTTTGTCAGCCTGCCAGCTTTTGCTTTAGAGAAAAAAAAAAAAAAAGAATAAAAATTATGTGACAGCTCCAAGACAACAGGAAAACATGACACCCTGTTACTGTAACTCTCAAAAGAACATCGCCTGTACTGTGTTTCAAACTTGCCACCTATTCAAAATGTTCTCATACTGAGTCACATCCCACCATACTTTACCTGTCATGTTTTAACTAGAGCTACAGGCAACACCACTATCTACTTAAACCTCACAGCAGGAAGCCTGGAAGTAGCTACTCTTTCATCAAACTGGCTACAAGAGCTGCCATCCACTATCAGGCAAAAATACAGTCAATTATTAACAGATGTGCAAGATAGACATGAAATTTCAGGGTTGCAAGCAAGAGCATCAACATCTAGTCAGAAGAGACTAACAACCTGAAAATCTGCCAACAACACTGCCATCAGTCAGAAGTTAGGAATGTAGTTTAGTGGAGATGGGCTGAATCAACACAGACATCCTCACAAACAAAGGCAAACACTTAGGGCTATCCACACACAGCTGCTGGTCAGTCCACCTCTTCATTTTTTATTGTAATAAGATGATGCACCAGGCACTAAACTCTGCCTCCAGAACTAAATCAGAAGAAAAAAACCCACACTGGTTTATGTGGACTATTTTAAACACATACACAAAATGGAACCAGGAAAAAAAGCCCTGCAGTGTTGATGGGAGCTTTACATCTCCTTTATCGGGATCTGCAGATTTACTGAAAAAGGGGCAGGCACCTAAGTAAAACTGTACAAGCCAGTACAGCACACACTGCCAGATGTACAACAGTTCCCCACACCTGAGTCCCCCTGAGTGGTTACGTGCTCTTGCAGGGCTTGCACTTTCCTAAAACTCAATGCCTCTGACTCCTCAGGCGACACAAGGCCCCTCTCCCACACAAACCTGAACAGAAATTCTGACACCCTCCAGTAAACTGGTAATTACCATTTCTGACCTCCCAACTTACCAGAAAAGGCTCCCAAACCTACAGTGTCGCTGATGTGGTGTCTTACATCATGACACAATAAGGGAAGGCGACAGCGGCAGAAGGAAAGCAAAGAACAAGAACAGTAATGCAACTGGGCTGTGCAGGCCCGATCCACACCTCAGTGAAGGCCGGAGGGCTTTCCCTTATTTCAACAGGCCTCTTATCAGGCACAAAGCAACAGCACCTTGCACTATCAAAGCCATAGAGCTAATGTTGCAATTAATCCTGTAATGATCTGCTACTACGAGGTGGCAACTACCAGGACAGCCAGACAGCCATGCCGAGGCATTGGCTGGTGTACACGAAAGGGTGGCTAGTTATCTGATCTCCTGCTATCCATGGTTACGCCATGGCGTAACATACGGTTCCATATCCACGGTACATGGCTGCATGGCTTAAGCTGCCACAGAACCAAGGAAAGCCTGTTAGCAGCACAGCACCTGTCCCACAGTATTTCAGCAAGACCTGCAAGACTGATGCAGCAAGCTCCTCCAGCCTGCTGGGTAACATGGAGGGAGACACCACCTCCTGGCAAACTGCAAGCAGGGATGAGGGCAGGAGCAAGAAGCATCCTAGACATCTCAAGTAGCTTCCAAGGTCTGGCTAAAGCCTTGCTAACAGCACAGATGTGTTTGTAACTCTCATTTGTCTGGAAAGCACCACCTGGCTCATCTTGCATGTGTTCTGCTCCTTAGAGAAGGGCAAGGATAAGAAGCCAGTGAGTGACACCCAATATAGCACCTGCCCGAGTGCCACAGGGCACAGCTGCCAGTTTCACTGTGTCCACACCAGCTGCAGAGCTCCTCCTTGCAGTCTCCACCTCAGAGAACAGCTAGAGGAATCTAAGGGCAGCATTTATCCGTATGAATTTCTGCTTTGTCATCCATACAGCAAGCTAAGAACAAATGCTCTCCGTCTCCAGTAACCTCAAACATCTGGTATATTGTAGGCCTCAGGGATTCATCTCTGGCCAAAATTGGAGGCGGCCATCAGAATGGTATTCTAAACGTAACGTCAAAGCCAGCAGCTCAGGCACTGCATTTGGAGCCTACACCTCCTCGACTTCCCACTTTAGGTTTTGAAACTCAGATTACAGCTACGTCACACCATCGCTGCGGCTGACTGGGTCAACAGGTTTTCAACTGCCTAGTTTAAACACTGTCTGTAGCACCGGCTTTATGCGGCAAAAGAAGTTTCAGAAGTCTAGAGCACACTTAAAATACAGAGAGCAAAATCACCCTAAAAATAACTGCCAGCGAGAGACAGACCTAACCACACGAGAAACATTTGATGAAGAGAAACAAAAGCGAAGTCATGAGTTACACTGCCAATGCAATCAGTACGTGTGGACAGAAACATAAGTTACATGTTATTTAAAACTATATTTAATAAAAATATTAGCTTTTTGTTAATCAAGGTAGCTAAAATCAGATGCAGGTAGGATTGCACACAACAATGGGGCTAGGCTGGTTGTGGCAGACACAGTTCTCTGTCAGATGTCCATCCAGGGCAGGGTGATCTCTTGGTAGATGAGTGGTCATACATGAAAATACTTGCTTTCTGAAAACCAGCTGGCTCTCCCAGGTATTGAAGGCCCAGGCCCTTTGGTTTTCGAGAGATCATGCAGGCAGACAGCTGCTGCGTGGCAGGACAGAGTCCTTCCCTTTGCATTGATCCCTGAAGCAGTACATCTGACAAAGCAACGCAACTGGTGCCTTAGACACAGCCAGACTTACACCTGACCTACCCCTGTATTT